GCTATTTGCATTCCATTGCAGAAAGGTAGATTTTTTTCCCAAAGAGAATTCCTTTTCTTCTCTTTTTCAAATGCAGGTGCTTACATTTTGGAGGCCCAGAAACTCTGACGCAGCAAATCCTCAACCACCACATAACCTTTAGGTGTATAATTCAAGGACCTCCAGCTAATCAAATGGTCAGAAAGGGAGCCATCATTCCAGACCAACTTCATTTCATCAGAGGTCAAGACCCGGGGCCACATGTTTACGTCTGCAATTTCCCCCACAAAGGATTGGTTGACGTCAAACCCCCCTCCGAAGGAATCCTGGTCCTGCCCCAGAATGATTGATGCCACGTTGCTTATGGCATAACCTTTTCTCATGCCCATTCTGGGGAGAGGTTGCCCATCCAGCCACAACCCTACCAACCCATTGCTAGAGTCCCAAGACATACAGATGTGCTCCCAGCTTGGTTTCTCCTTCTCAGGAACCGTGTAAGTTACTACCGAGCCACCTATATGAAGAGCATACTGGTTGGATTTCGACTTGTAAATAAGCAAATCGTTGTCGCTGGACTTGGTGGCGTAAGAGAAGATGCCACAGGCACGGGACAGGAGGGAATAGTATCTCAGGCAGACGGTGACCTTGGTCAAGGGCTGCTGAAGGGGGACATCCAGGACCACAGCGGCAGTGTTAGAAGCTTCCGGGAAAACAAAGACCTTGTTCTGGAGATCTGGAAGGAGACAGAAGACATCTTCTCTGTTAGCAGGACACATGCCTAAGATCGTGTAGGGGTTCACAAGGGAGATAGCTACCTATGCAATGGTCAGATAAGAGTGGCCTGAGCCCGGGCCAAGAAAGTAACTTGGGAAAACATGTCTGACAAGCCCCTTCCTAGCTCACACAAAGAGGGAGGAGGAGTGCATTCAGACTTGCAAGATTCTGCTACTACAGCTGTGACAGTAAAGGTGACAGGCAGGCGAGGATAAGAAGGAAGGAAGGAAGGAAGGAGGACCATCGTGGTGGAAGATGGAGGAACTGGCTGGTCACGGGGACTCCAGACAGCCTCTTCTGCCGATTTTCTTGGGTGCGCAGCAGAGTCTTCCTTGCAGGTCCAAACCAACAGAGCCCTAATAGCCTATAAATCTCATTGATCAATCAATATATAAATAGGCAAACATCTCGAGTTGTGAAACTCTATGATGTTGCTCCGAATTTCCTCTTAAACCTAAAACAAAGACAGGATTACCCATAAGCTTCTTTCTGAGACTTTCTCCAGGAAATGCTTTCTGTTTATGTATTTGCCATGATTCATGTCATCCTCCCCTTTACTGGGCCCGTGTCACATATATGGATTTCCACAGCCCCTCTCAGAATTCTTTGCGATGGCTCCACTGGCTGGGGAATTCTGGGAGGTGATGTCCAGACAGGGGTCTTCAGCACCCAAGGTTCTCAGCAATGGCCATGCTGGCTGGGGAATTCTGGGAGCCGAAAGCTCCCCAGCTGGCATTACCCACTTTGGGGAAGGCAGAACCAAAGTGAGAAGCGGTAATCTTACAAGCGTGACCGCTAATTCTTCAAACCCAATCTAGCCATATTCCAGGAAGAGGGTGGACATCTGGTCCATCTACCAATTCCTTGTCTTTTCCATTCTAAGGTGAGATGAGATTCTTGGACTCCCCCCTCCCTGTACACTAGTATTGTATAGCAGACAGAGCAACAGCACAACCAGTTGGGAGGGGGTGAGCCTCCCCCCTCTCTGGAGAGCTTCAGGAAGAGATGGGATCCAACTAATGGGAACAAACTAGTTCTGGTTTTGCTAGTTCAGCCAGGACTTGGTTTTTGATGGCCACCAAAGATAGCAGTGCACCATGGAACCCCAGAGCCTTCATCTATCCACATAGATAATCCTGGATCACCCCAAAATTAAGAGACATGAACAGCCCGTGCACATACATCCAGACGTCCCCTGGGAAACATAACATCCAAACTCTTTCTTCTCCATCTGAAGGAAAATGAATTTACAACCCAGGTTCTATTTCTAGCACTGCACAGGTAAAGGCCAGTATTCTACCAGCAAAACAGCAATGTTGCATGAGAATCAGATAATCTCTTTAGACATGGGAACCACAATTATTTAGCCAATATTTTGGCTTCGAAGGACTGCCAAGATGAGTCCGCCAGGACCCGATGCCAAAAGCTTTGATTTTTGTTTTCTTTTAGAGTCTCCGGCACCTCTAAGTTTGGAAACGAGGGTGTTTTGCTTTACGCTGGCCCAAAACATGCATTTCTAAAGTTTTAGTGTTTTTGCCCACAAAAAAAGTCCCACGGCTAAAAACTGGCCATTCTGGTGCCGACATTCAGAAAGATGTGCCTGAAGCGTTTGAAGAGCCTAAATGGGATCGGGGCCTCCCTGTTTGGGGAAAATATTTATGCACAGTTTTCAATACCTGATGGACCACGGTCAACGTATCAGCCAGGGGCACCCACAGAGATAATCCCCAACTTCAAAATGGTGGGCGCAACCAGGTGATCAGAGCCCTACCCCTTTTAACGTGCATTGCACGCACTGCGTGCACACTAAAATAGGCGGAGCTTAAATCATCTGATCACACCTGCCATGGCAATCCCTTGGGGTGCAGGAAGAAAAAGTTGAAAATTGCTGTTTAGATTTCTATTTTGAACCTCAAAAAAATTAAGAACGGAATGAAGCGATATTAATATATGAAGGCACCAAAAATGATGCTGAATACGTGGAATAGATTTGGGAAGCACGCTTTCTAAGGTCTATAATATATTCGTACAGTAGTCCATGTATCTTTTTTATTTTGCTTTATTTTATTTTATTGTGGCTTCAAGACTGTCTTGAAGCCGCTGCCTAAATGAGTCTCTGCAGTTTTTTGGCAACATTTAGGGAGATAGTCTGCCCTAGTCTTCTTCCTGGGGATGAGAGAACGGGACTGGTCCAAAGTCACCCAGCTGGCTTTGTGCCTAAGGCAGGACTCGAACTCACAGTCTCCCGGTTTCGAGCCTGATGCCTTTAACTATCCCACCAAACTGGCTCTCTTTTAAATATATTAGAGATGCATGCTCACAGATTTTTTACTGAGAAGGATGAACAATCAAAAAACTTTGGAGACCCTTCATCTAGAACAGTGTTTCTCAACCTCGGCAACTTTTAGACGTGTGGACTTCAACTCCCAGAATTCTCCAGCCAGCATGGAGAATTCTGGGAGTTGAAGTCCTCACGTCTTAAAGTTGCCAAGGTTGAGCAACACTGATCTAGAAAGTAGCAAGGGCTTACGGGAGGAGACTTCAACAGCCACCCAAAACTCAACTGGACCCCAAGTCAAGTTTGGTGAGCCCAACAAAGCCAGTTGGGTAGGGCCAAAGCCCAGAAGGTTGGAAAGAAATGTCCTAGAGGTCCAGATTGAAGACTTGAGGCTTGTCTAAGAGGGTCCCATCCAAATTCATTTGCAAGCAAGCAGAGGGAGGTCCTGCTTGATCATCAGAAGCTTCTTCTGAAGTAGGGACAGCCACACCTCAGGATTAACTAAGCTTCAACTTTCTGAGGCTGGGGCTTGGCACCGATTTTGCTTCCTTCTCAGAATCAGACAAGGAAACTGGACATCATTCAGAAGAGAACATCACCCTCTTTTTAGAAGCCAACCCATTTCACGTTCATAGGCTGCTAAAACCCCCTGAGTTATATTTCTGTATGTCTCCAAGAACGTCATCTTCAATCTCTGAGAAATTATAATCAAAATATTTTCCTGCAGCTAAGGGTTGGCTAAGTTATTAATTTTATTGTTCTTCCAAAGGACCGTGTTTGCAGAGGATTGCAAAACAGATTTTAAAAATGAATTTCTGGAGGAAATCCAGAACCAAAGAATAACACACTCTTGTGAAATGTACGAACAATTTGCATTTTATTTTTAAAGCACTGGCCAATTTTGGTATGCGGGTGTCCTTCAAAAAGTGTCCTTCCTTTTTATCGGAATTCAATCACCTCCTCAAATATTGGTAATCCAACTCCACTGGCTAAGATCTGAAAACTGTGGGTCAACCTCATCAGGTTGGACAAGGTGACCAGACGGTGGGATCTAAAGGAGATACAAGAGTTGTTAAAACCATACAATGGAAGAGAATGGAAAAAGCAGACAGGAACCACAATCAACCTAGGCAGCAGGGCAGTTTGGTAATTCTTTATTTTGTAGATATAACCAATCAAAGATTAGATGGGAGGTCATTTGAGGGGGCTACAGCACCTCTAATGCATTGAGTGGGCTACAGCACCCCCCAATCTGGCACCAGACACACTTTTCCTTGCCATCAGGCCCCACTTCCAAGCATTATCCTTCTTTTTTCTCGGCAGCAAAACCGGAGAGCCGGCCTTGAAGCCGAAATCAGTGTTCCACCGGGAATGTTTCTAGTCCTCTTGAAGGTCGCGATCCGCGACCACTTGGGCAGAAGTCAGGATTGCAGCGAAGCCAGAACTGTTTTTCTCCAAGAGGCCAAGCGAGGTTCGTTGGAGGTTTGGGTGGCTTTTCTGCGGTGGAGCCCGTATGCCTGAATTCCTGCCCCGGGTTCAACAAGCTGGGGTGCGAAGACAGCCGAGATTTCCTTCCCCGCCATCCGCATCCGATCCGGACGGCTCCGGACGGCGGGGCGCCGCTGTTTCCGCTGCCGGGAAAGTTGAGAGTTGGACGACGGTCCCTGCCGCGTTGTGCGCTCAGGGCGCGGAGCGGCCTTTGGAGACGCTCCCTCCCACTGTCAGCCCGGAGCTGGAAGCGCC